GATTCCTCAGGCCCGGGAAGAAACCCGAAGGCCCTGCCGGGGGCATCTTTGCTCTGAGCTGCATGTGGAAACGCAGGGCCCGCCTGTACATTGCAACCCACCCCGCGCGTAGGGCTAGTCTAGCCGCCCCCCAAAAGGTGGTGCCTGGCATGTGGAGCTTGTTAAGGGTTTATACTGAGCTTGTTTTTTGAACAGGGTGGGCCAAAGGAAACATACCAGTGCAGAATACACCTCATCAGCTCCCCCCGACCGCAGGCACTCGCCTGGCTGCCGCTGGAGCCAGTTAAGAGCAGTGAGTGGGAGAGAGAGAGAGGGAGGTGGCATTGCTGGAACACGAACTTGGCAGCGGAGAGCTGCAGCTGCTCAGGCCACCCCTCCCGTGGCCATACCTGACTGTTAATTCTTGTTCAAGAGCAGCTGAAGGAAGCCCAAGAAGGAAGCCCATTCATCACCGCTGGCTCCCATGGCCAATGCTAATACTGAAATAACAGGGAAGGCCAGTGTGGTTGGGATTAGCGCCGCTTGTTCCGAAAAGCCAGGGCTGTCAGGCAAGAGGGCAAATCCGTGTATGAGCTGATGGCAAATGGAGAGTTGAAGTATGCAGGGGTTAGTCCTAGACGGCTCTCCTCCATCTTTCCAGTGTACACAGCTGGGATGACTGTACTGCCCCTTTAAATGTCTCTTGGTTGGACTCCGCCGTTGGCTCAGACGCTCAACCATTTTGGGTGCATTTCAGTGCAGACTGTTACAGATAACGTACACTCAGGCCCCGCACCCTCCTGGGGCCCCTGCTTTTGTTTTGCTCTTTCCATTGCTCTTGTAATCGCACACAAAGACTGAAAATATCTGTCAAATTATGCATCCCCAAAGAGCAACGTCAGGGTTTCTTTTAAGATGGACGTGAATTCCGGACTCAACGACACATGGCAGAACGCCCCAAACATACAGACCTAAGAACTGCCAGCTTGAGCAGTCTAGCTAATCTCGGCGACTAGGCCAGGGTCCTAGCCATACTGGCTCAGCCCAATGGTCCATCTAACCCAGCATCCTGTCTTGGGACAGCGTCAAAAACTTCAGCAGGCATACACAGACCAGAGCTATTTCACATGATCTTTCAGGCCCATTTCGTGGCAGTGGAAAGTTTGGGGACACTTGGAATATGGGGGTTCAATATCATGTGTCCTAGTGTCTTCACCCGGCCGGGAGTGTGCGTCTGCACTGAGCTTGGGCTAGATTCAGAGCTTCCAAAGGGGTCCCATGTAGACTCAGGTAAAGTACTGGAAAATGTTGTCAAGACCTGTCCGGGTGTGGGGAGGGGGAAGGCAGACCCAACCAAAGAGTTTGCAGGGCCCAAGGTAGCACATTGACAGCGGGGCCCAGCCGTTCATAAATGTGACATCATGGTGACATCACCCAGCCACAGTGCGGGACCCTGAGGATGCGGCATTTTGGCCTAAGGCTGGGGCCTCACAGGTGGGCTCTGCCGAGGTGAGCCGGCTCCCAGCTTGATGTCTACCCGGCTCTCTGGGGCCTGCTTACAGCCCACCCTCTGATTCCGGCTCCAAGCAGCTTCCCCCGCCTTGCGGGTCAGGCCGGCCCTGCCCAGCACTCTGCTGAGGCTGCTCCAGCCACTGTGCCTCAGTTACTCAGGAACCGAGCCGCCTGTGCTCCCCAGCCAAGCCCACCGCCAGAGCCTGTCTCCGCTTTGGCCCTCTGCCTGACAGGGCTACCCAGCCGTGCAGCCGCCTCCCTGCTCCCCACGCAGCGAGCCCACCTGGCAGTTGTGCAGTGGTCCAGAAAGCAGCGTGCACCAGCACTGCCACCCCCCAGGCCAGGTCAATAGGCTCAAACCTGGGGGAGAGGGAAGGCTTTGTGCAGAGAACTGAATATCAGGCCCGGCCAAAGAATCTGTACATACACAGAGCAGGGCCCAAGGCAACCGCCTTGCCCTAAGGCTGGGCTGGGGGAGAAGATTGGGGAGTGGTGTCTAAGCCGGGTTGGGGAAACCTCAGGCCGGGGTGCCAGATGTGGCCCAGGGCTTGCCTGGATCCAGCCCCTAAGACACAGTCCCCCTCCCCGCCATAGCATTGGGGCACAGGCACTGGCGTTCCAGCCCCCTGCTGGCCTCGCCTCGTGGGGCTGGAGCACACAAACTCTACTAGGCTGGGCCCCTTTAGGCTCTGGTGTACAAGGGGACTCTGTGTGTGTGTGTTGGGGGGGGGGTGTCTTCCGCCTGTGTGTGTGTTGGGGGGGGGGTGTCTTCCGCCTGTGTGTGTGTTGGGGGGGGGGTGTCTTCCGCCTCAGTTGGGGGAAGGGGGCTCATCAGTGAGGGTTTTGTTTTCACTTGTGTGTGGCCCGCCCCCCCCCGTCGATTTTTTTTGTGGGTCAGCAGCTCACAACCCAAAAACGGTTCTCCAAAGCTTTTGTCAAAGCCGCCACGTGACCTCACACTATGGCTTTGCCTCAGCTGCCCATTCTGGGCTGCCAGTTGGTGTGGGGGGTGGCGAGAAGGTTAGCACTGACTCATGAGCGCGGCGGTGGCTAACGCGGTAATATTTACAACACAAGACGCTGCAGCCGGCATGTTGGAACCTCTCCCGGCCTGCAGCGAGCCCCACCTCTGCTCCACCCGTTGCTCCCAAAACCCCAGCCTGCCTCTTCCCCAGAGGCCCTGCCCTATCTGCTACCTGTCCCTTGCTGCGCTTCCCCTCCCCTCCCGCCACACAGCTCAGGGCTGGGCTCAGCAGCCACCGGACTCAGGTAGGGAGCTGGCATGGATGATGAATTTGTGCCTCCCTGATAACTGGTCTTGGGGGAGGGGGGGAGCACAGACACCCTCCCTGCTGCCCTGGGAAAA